GGAGCGCGGGCCCGGCCGCTGCGGGCTCTCCCGGGAGCGTGGAGTGGTGGGGAAGGGCCGTGGAGCGGCAGGACTGGCAGCCTCACTGCCCTGCTCGGCTGGCACCGGCCCTGCCCTGCCCTGCCCTGCCCTCCCGTCCTCCCCTCCCGTCCTCCCCTGAGACGGCCCCAGCCGGCACCTGCGTGCTCTGGTCAAAACACAGATGGGGATTTTCTGGCCGAACTACGTTTATAATTTTGTGTTGAAAAATACAAGTATCGTTTGGAAAATGTATCTGAAAATGCCATCGCTGTTTGCAAATAGAGATGAAGAATTACTGAATATTTTGGCGCACTTGATTAGAAGTTGAATGAGCATGTGTCTTGTTCAGCCCGTGGTGCTAGCAATGAAGACATGGAAACAGCTCAACTTAGAGAATTAAGTGACTCCATGAAACACGCATTTTGTCATTAATCTACATTGTTGGTTGTGCTTTGACCAATCATGAAGTGTTCTAGTAGATTACAAATAGCACAGACATGCCTAATTATACCTCAATTACATCTTCAATGTCTTGTGGAGATGTTAAAATGCTTCCTGCAGCCCTAGGTGGTATCAGGTCAATACTGTGCCTTTAAAAACAGCTTCCATCTGTAAAGGCTTTGACAGTACTACATTTAGATTGACTTGCTTCCATTAGCGTTGTTGCAACACGGAAATCCTGATTGTCACCAGATTGGCAAAAAGATTACAGTGACAACCTGATAGTGATTTTCAGCATCACATTGATTAGATTCACTTTGACTTTCATAATGCTGTAGCTTCAGTTGGACCCAGACAGTGTTTTATCTATATTAGAACTCCTGCGGTTGTTGGATTTGAAAAAATGTAAAAGATTCATCACCCTTGTGATTGTCTTTAGATCCATAGATGCAGATGGATTGGTACTGTTTACCTAGACCATAGGTTGGTAATTTCCCTTGTAAATGGTATGAACTGCTAAGTTCATACTGATGTGTGCAGACAGGTTTGGGTTCTGGATGTGAAACAATAGTGCTCCCTCATGAACTACAGGGTGGAAGGGGGAAAATTCAGCAACTGTATTAGCTGAGGAAATTTCTGTCCTGGGCTGATTTTCTTCCAAGTCATTCAACTATTTCTTACTAAGTTGAAATATATTTAAATCTTTGTTCTCTCCAGTACTCTTGACACAGCAGGACCCACATAATAATTTAAAAGGTGCACTCGGGGAGGGAATCATGTTTATATTCATACGTTTTTGTCTGGATTGTTGTTAGAAGTATTTAAGGAAGCAGTTAAAAGATTTTCTTTTGGGACTCTTTACAATATGTTTTGCCTGATCACTGGCTATTGACTTTGATAAGCTCTTCATGGCTATTGACTTTGATAAGCTCTTCATCTTAGTCTAGCGCAGTGACTTTGTTTACTTTTGGCCAAGGCTAATATGGGTTGGGCCTTTGAAAGCAAAGCAACACCTGGAATTTTCCCCAAACTCTACTAAGGAGTATTTAAGCATAATGCTCTTCCTGGACTGGAGCCTTTGATGTTAAAGACTGTATGGTCTCTTTGCTCACCTGCCACAAATCTTTTGTTTAGCAGCTTAGATGGAACTGGCTTCCAGCAATCCAGACATAGTGTCAACAGCTTTGCCGGCCTGCAGCTGCTGATGTCTAGTGTTATTGTGAGCCAATCTCCGAATTTGTTACATTTGACAGGAAGGAGCTCCCTCTTCTTACTTATATCTGTTCCCT